TATACAAATAACTTAAAAACAATATATTCTTTAAAAGTAGCCATAGCCCAGAAAAATAGAACGAATTAAAGATAAAAATATATATATATATATAAATGTAAATTTTATATACATCGAATATAACATGAGTTAACATCAGATCAGGGTTTTGTTAAAGTTTATAAGACCTTATTTTTAATACGAAAAGCAAATATATGAGGGTGATTTTTTTTTCTATAGTATTTTTGCCTCGATAGAAGTTCAGCTCTACATTATTAAATTCGCTCAGCTATGCTGAAACTGAGCTGGAATGGGATTCAGTATAGCGCAAGTGTTTTGTATATTATAAATTAAAATAGCAATGCGAAAATGTTTAGCTAATTTATGGTGAGTAATAATTGGCAAAGCCAGCAATAAACGAACTCTTTGCGTGTTTCTAGAGAATTTTAAGAAGGTATATAATATATATAATATATATATATATATATGATGATAGGAATCGGAATGACTTACCTGAAAGCTGGCTATGTCGCAGAGGCCGCTGTTTTGGAGCGCCGGCTGATTCGAGATGCGCATCTTCCAGCCGAGCTCTGTGACCCGTTTGGCAATGAAGAAATCCTCGGCCAGGTAACAGCCGAAGGTGCGGAGTCCGCCCAGCTGATCGATGACCGCCTTGCGCAGCAGACAAGACATGCCGGTGTGACAATTGATGCCCAGCACATCGGCCGACAGATAAATCCTGGACTGCACCGTGCCAAAGAACACCTTCTCGAAGGTGGCCGCAAATCCCTCCCGATCGCTGGTGAAGGGCATTTGATGGATGAGCGCATGTCGCTCGGACATGTTCTGCACCATGTCCAGCAGCGTGTCGTTCTTCATTTTGATGCCGCTGTCTGAGATCATGACAAAGTCATATTTGGCCGCCATGTAGCCAGGATGGATGTTGTTGATTTTGGGATTGACACCCACATTGGAGCCACCCACGAAGAGCTGGGCATCAATCTGGGGATACTTTTCGATCAGTTGCTCCACCAGCTTGATAGCCGGATCGTGTTTGTCCTCCACACAAAACAATAGCTCGTACAGCGGATAGTCCATGGTGAAGAATGTTTCCAGATTATGTTGCAAATTCGGATCCACGCCCATTAATGGCTTCAGTATGGAAACACCCGGCAGCGGGGAGGACTCTGTGGGCAGCTTGCACAACTTCTTGTGCAATTTGTATTTGCCATAGCAGATCGCGATTAGATGTACGCACCATGTACCGAACCAAAAAATCATAAAAAATGCTGCGAAGCCATACACTGCCAGCGGCAAATGTGACATTGTGTGCGTCTCTGAGTGTGTGTACGCGCGTGTGGCTTTGTCTGTGTGTTTGTGTTTGAGGTGTTGGGTGTTGTAGGAGGCGCTGTCTGGCCCGTGTGTGCGTAAACTAATCTGCGTGCGAGTATGTGTCGGTGTCTATGTGTGTGTGTGTGTTCGTGTAGTGGATGGATGTCACTGCGGTTTAATTGGTATACATCTGTACGTGCGGCTGCTCTTGTTAACGCCTTTTGCCTTGGTGGGGGAGGCAGAGTAGCAGCAAATGCTAAAATGAGTCCCGCTGCCGGACTTTATCCCGTTCCCGTATATCTGCCTTTGTCGTTCGCCGTGGCTGAGTCAGCATGCCCCGCACACACAGTCAACAATTGGTTGCGTTGTTGACTATTTAACTTTAACACTATGTCGTCATAGGCGTTTCATGGATTATTTTTCTTTTTTCGCTAATTGATCACTAATTTGCGCGTGATAAACATCTCGAAGTCTTCGCGTCGCGTTCCATGTCCAAATAAAAACTGCAGTGAAGAATAGGGAACGCGGAAGTGAAAATATGCCAAAAATGCACCAAGTTACTGTATGTAAAAAATACCGAAAATCTTCGACTTTGCGCTAAATAATACCATTATTAATTGAAGTCTTTTATCGAATTATTTACTAAAAGCGTAAAATAATTATATTTATACCTAAAAAAAAACAAGAATCATATCATATAAATAATAATATTAATAAATTAATTAAGATTCGTTAGTAACGAAATTATAATATCTGTTATTTTTAATGAGCAGCGTTTTGCTTGAGCAGCATATTTTCCGCAGATTGTTGATAGTTTGGTCACATTGCATAACGCAAAGAGACATGCATATAAATAAAACACTATATATAATGTTCAATACTCATCTCAATTTAATTTAAATATGTAAGTAGGCTTTCAATATCTTAAAAAGACAGATTTGGAAATTTAAAATGAAAGCCTAAAGACACAAAAATTTTAAGTTAAATTAGACGAAGATGGAGCCCGCGGGGGAGGAGTGCATCCTGAAAGATGGAGCCGTAGATACAAAAACTGATGGCCAACACAATATTACAAAAGTGCTCAAGTCGGATTTTGATGCCAAATACAATATTCTCGATATCTCTACTCCGCTAAACAATTTCTTGTCCGCCCACTATAAGCGCAGCTACGCTTATTATTCGCTACTCAATATCCTTCCCGTTGTGCTGACGAAAGTGATTGACTCAATTACAAAGGACAAGAACGAAATAGTCACACAATTTGGTGAGGTGTGTATTAAGTTAAAGCTGTTGTTCCCTAATCATAATATACAGCGCCCACAACATTTGTGCAGAATGCGCGTGACGAGCTGAAGATCATCATTGGGCTTATTTCGCGGCTCAAGTATGAGCTACAAACGGACAAACCCTTCCAAAATTTTACCGGTGATGGCAAGTATTAGTCGTTCTCGAATGAAAGTTATCGACTATTATATCGAATCGCCTAACAAATTTTTGTATGCCTGCCCGCAGAGCCGGATCGCGAATCATGGAATAACTTTCTGGCAGAACTTCCAGCCAAAGCAAATTCGTTCTATCAGGCATGCTTGATGCACACGGAGTGCTATATGTACCGCAAGCTCTACTCCTTCGTGGAAGACAGCATATTTCTGAAACAGTTTGATTACTTTGCCAAGATCAAGCAGGACACACTGGACAGCTGCCAGGATGATATAGTCTCATTGGCCAAATACACAAGGCGTACAGAGAATACATTTGACGCATTTGATGAACTTTTAAAAATTAACCTGTGGAGCACCCGCAATGATCTCTCCAAAAACGAAAATGGACTCTCCTTCAACATGAATGTGCTGGAGGATGTGACGGCAACCGACAGCCATATTCTCATTAATGATGCCTTCGATATCTGGCAGTGTTTGAATAGCCGTAGATCGAAAAAACAATGCGTCGACTTTGTGTTGGCCGATGTTGGCTATGAACTCTTCGCCGACTTCATTTTAGCCGAGTATATCATCGAAAAGGGATTCGCGGCCAAGGTACGATTCCATGCCAAGGCTTGCCCTTGGTTTGTTAGCAATACAACCCGACGGGATTTCGAAATGACACTACAATATCTGAGCAAACACTCCGACTATAACCTCAGTCTGGTGGGCAATAAGTTTTTGCAATTTATGGATGAGGGTAAATTTGAGCTGGCACCCGTTTCAACTTTCTGGACCGGCCCGCATGCTTTTCATTGGTGAGCTGATAGTCCGCCAACGGTCCCGTTGTTTGGTTTCATATATGATTTAATGCGATTTCTATTTTTAGCATGAAAACAGTGGATCCAAAGCTATATAAGTTAGTGCAACACTCAAAGCTAATCATATTTAAAGGCGATGTGAACTATCGCAAGCTCTTGAGCGATGTTAACTGGCAGCCGACACAGGATCTGAAAACGTGCGCGGGCGCAGTTGTACCCAATAGTTTTTGCACAATACGCACAGCCAAGTCAGAGATAATATGTGGTCTACCAGAGGGCACATATGAAAGACTTCAGTCGATTGACTCCGATTGGATGGTCTCTGGAAA